ACACTATGTCCCAGTACCACGGGCCCAATGAAGAAAAGTCAGCGTCTCAGTGCTCTGATTCAAAGCGACTGCCAAGACCCGGTGTTAACTGAGGAAAACAAGACACAAAGCCGTGCTTATAGAATGCTGCACACTGTGTGTGTGTGTGTGTGTGTGTGTGTGTGTGTGTGTGTGTGCGTGTGTGTGGAAGGGAGAGAGACAGACAGAGAGAGAGGGTGTTGAGGAAGGAGGTGCCACTTGCTGGGGGACAGCCAGGCCATCTCTGGGAGACACAGACCAGGCCAGTGCAGGGTGGAGGCTGGCAGAGGAGACGCTTTCAGCCCCTGCCTTGGTGCTCGACTTGGGGTTTCTCCCCCTAGCCCACGCCCGCCTGTCTTCCACACACTGGCTCAGCGAGTTTCAGAGGCTCCCCGCTAAGACGCAGAGACTGTCCCTAGGGCCCTGCCGCTGTCTCTTTCCTCAAAGGCTCACAACCCCCGGGGAGGCCAGGGAGGAACCTGGGGCCTCCGACCCTCGCCTCCCAGACGGCCCTTTCATCTTGGTTTATAGGTTGGGCACCAAGAGAAAGTTCAGCTGTGAAATGGGGCTTTGCCTGCTGTGAAAGGAAATGTTGGAAAAGCTTTGATCTTCAATAATCTCTTCATGTGCTGGTGAGAAGATGGGGTCCAGAAGGGAGAAAACAAAAGAAGCTGGTCCCGGAGCCCAACAGACCTGGGTTCAAATCTAGCCTGGGCCACGTGCCTTGGGTGGTACTGCCCAATCTCAGCTTCTTTCTCCAGGGGAACAGAAACACTCTAAGACTCGATGACCCCAGACTCTCCATAGATGTCAAAAGTGGACACAGACCCTACTTCTTATCTGGGGTCCACTGGCTGCAGCAGGACACATAGAAAATCAGCCTGCCTCTGCCGTCCTTGGGAGATGCAGGAATGCACACCTCCCTCTCACATTCCTGTCCAAGCCTGGTCCATCTCAGTTCCTGGAACTCGGGTCCTGCTCAGCACCAGGCGTAGCTGTGCCCTGGGCAGGACCTGCAAACCCACCTCGAGATGCCCCGTCGTGCAGGCCTGGAGATGGTGTGGCGGCTCGGACAGGATGCCTGCAGCTGTAAGGAACGCTGACCCTGTCTGCCCACCGGCCGGACTGCCCTGGACCCTCGCCCCCAGCTCCTAAGAATCTAGGGATTTGCAGGGCTGACAGGGAGACTGGTCCACCGAGAGCATGGGTTTTCTCCTCATTTTTGCTCAGCCATCATGAGTAGGTGACTTTTGGTCTCACGGCTGGTCCTGGTGACACAGTGGCCTCCCATGTTTAGCCTCATTCCCACTGCAGGCGGGAAGAGGGGCGGGGGAGCGGCCACCCGCCGTGTGTGTCTTATCCCAAAGCTTCCCAGGAGCCCCATGATAAATGTGCCGCTACTGTCCAGGGCCATCCTGGCTGTGAGGGAGCCTAGGACTGTGTCCCTCTAGCTGGCCCTGGCCGTCCCAAGTAGGGTGGGGTCTGGCAAGCAGGAGAATGGGGGGGGACAGGCGGGCGGTGCTCAGGGACCTCATGGGAGATGAGAGTTTGCTTCCTGTGACCCTCCTGCTGTTACCCTGCAAGGGTCTCTGTCCTAGGACAGCACTGGGAGGGTCCCTTCCTTGAATCCAAGTGCTGATGTCCCCTCAAACCAAAGAGGGGTCTCCTTCCCGGAGAAGAGTGAACCAGGGTGGCGGCAGGACCTGATGCCCCTCTGACCCTGGGGTTTGTTCCCTGTCCGTTTTCTCAGCTCACTGCCACCTCACTCCCACCGTCATGGGTCCGTGGGCCCGACTGGGCCCCTTGGGTGGCTCTGTGGTTTGGGGACCCGTTGACCTACTTCCTGCTCAGCTGGAAGCCACAGCGGCTGGGCTCACCGCTGCCCCTCACGCCCATGGCCAGCGGGCCACACCAGGCACATCCATCCATCGTGACGGCAGGGACCGAGAGGCGCGTGGAATCACACAGGGTCTCTGGAAACTTCATGTGGAAGTGATGATCTTGATCCCATTCTACCGGCAAAAGCAAGGGACAGGGCTGGGGCGAGTCGCAGTGTGGAAACTCGCCCGGCTAGACGGACGGCATGGCGCAGGGCGGGGTCGCTCTCCAGCCTCCGCTTCCTCTGCGGCTGCCCATGGGGTCCCTTCCCACTCCTTCAACACTGGCTTCTCGAGGGTCTGTCCAGGTTTTCTCTCTCAATGTGGGATCTCTGGGGTCTTGAGGGTCCACGTGCCACCATAGCGCCAGTGCCCCTGGGTCTGTGGCTGCAGCCTTGGTCTCTCCAGCCTCCAGCTGCCAACTGGTGGTGCCCACGCGGGCACCTCACAAGCCCCAAGTGCCCTCCACCCAGCCCCCCCTGGCCGTCCTCCTCCGGTACCCCAGAGCTGGTGCCCATGTTGTTGGTAGTGATGATGACCTGAGCTGGGCACTTCCTGGGTGCCGACCCCGGACAAATGCTGTCTGAGTGCCCCTGAAGCATCCCTCTGAGGGAGACCTTTAACCAGGGCGCTCTGCGCCACGTGACACTCCAGGGCCTTGTCTACCTCACACTCAGCTTCCCCGAGCTACACCGGTGCTGGAGACCCTAGCCCAAGATCCTTCCACATTCTCACCGCCTTGCAAACAGAGCCCAACTCCTCGGTCTGAGTAACCACCTCCACGGTGCTTTCATTTATCACGCACAGGAGGAAATTATCACACTCATTTCGTATGCTATGCATGAGAGAAAGAACAAGTGTGTAGGCATTTAGGTCTAGCAGCAATAAACAAAATAATAAATTTCCAACATGTCAGAGCTATGAAGAAAAATAAAACAAGGTAAAAGGATAATTGTTTTTGCAAATTGGGACGAAGGTTAGGCTCTCCAATCAGAAGGCGTTGTGATGAAGTTTGACAGCAGCAAGTGCAAAGGCCCTGAGGAGGGAAGGGGATTGGGGGAGGCTGATACCATGGGTATGAGATGGAGGAGGCCCCAGGAAGAGCTTGGCTTCCCCACTGAATAAATTGGGACCCATGGGAGGGTTTGAGTGGTGGAGAGATGCACCCGACAGGTTTCCACAGGATCCCTATGACTATGTGTGGATAACAGTTTGTGTAGGGGCCAAGGTGGAAGCAGGAAGCTGAGTATTGCAGGTCTCATGATGCTTTGCTCACAGAAGGGATTCACCCGGCTGAGTGACATTCTCAAGAAGCGCAGGAAAACCAAACAGGATTTCCAGGTTGACCAGAATCAGGCAGAAGACACAGGTGTCCGGCACGCCCTGCCCCGGGCTCCTCCACTGTCCCGTATGCAGCGTCCTCCAGTGCTGATCTGTGGCGCTGTGTTTGCCAGCGGATCCCCCACCCCCACCCTGCACTGCGGAGGGTGTGAACCCTCTGCACCCCCAACGTGGTCAAGGCCACGGTGGCCCCGGTCGCGCCAAAGATGCTCACCGCTCTGGACCTGAGCACAACCCCTGACGCTCCTAGTTCTTCAGAAACAGGTCCACGCACACGGTGGTCACCCCCAGTGCCACACTCCCTTATCTTGCCGAGGGACTCCAAAGAACACGGCATATTTATGTCTGTGGTTTGGGTTCCCAAAACCTGTGACATCAGATAAGTACGACATGCACAAAAACAAACGGCATCACAGAAGGAAAATAAAAACCACCGGAAGAGAAGCCCGTGGTTGCAGCCTCAGCTTCCGCTCCTTGGGGTGGGGCTTGGGCGCCGGGTCCCTGCTGGGGGTTCTGGGGGTGATGCGCTATCAGCACTGACCAGCCACGGCTCAGCCCTGGGGTCCCGCACTCTGAGCCTTAGACTTCACCTCAAAATGGAAATGCTGACCTCTATGCTGGGGGGCTCGTGAAAAACTTCGGTAAAAATGATAATTAAAATAGACCGATACCAGCTCGTCTTTGAACCCCGGAGTCCCCCACAGGTCATTTTCTTGTTGTCCTCACCTCTTGTTAGGTCTGCACTGTCACGGGGTGACAGCTGCACTTTCCAGGTGGGGAAAGGGAGGCTTCGCATAGGCAAAGAAGGCAGATCACAGCATTCCACCTGGCTATGTTCCTTCGGAAATGCAAACATATAAAATGCAAATTAAACTTTAAAACACATCAGTGTAAGAAGGAATCAGGAGAAAGTTCCGGCAGGCTGTGTGCCTCTATCTCACAGTGGTTTTCCTGCTGTCGGGGTCACAGAGAAAGGGGTCCCCCGGCTGTGTCCCTCTCATTCTTCCCCTCCCAGCACACATCCCTACCCTGCATTCCCTCCCTGGCCCCTCGAGGGTCACCCGACCTCTTCTTGGGCCGGCCTTACCTGAAGGCGTCCTACCCTCTCAGCCGCGCCTGGACCCTCAGTCTGCAGCTCCGAGCAGAGGGCCCATGATGGAGGGCTCGGGGGCTACTCCTTGACCCATTGCTTTAAAACTTTGCTTGTTTCTTGGAAAGCAATCGTCCTGGGTGGTTTTGTTTTGTTTTTTGCCTTTTGCTGGCGGAGCCCCGCAGGAGGGGGCTGGGGAGTGTGGAGGAAGTGGGCAGAGGGTCAGGCCACGAACAGCCCGGCTCTCCTGCCAGGCTTGGCCAGAGCTCTCTGTCCCAGAGATCTCCCTGCCTGGGACCGGTTATCTCTGAGTAACAGAGCACACAGCCGCCCCATGGGATAAGGGTGCCCAGGGGACACCAGGGAGCCCCGGGATTCCCAGCCCAGCGTGGGTGGGGTACATGGCCCATGCAGTTCCAAATGCTTCAAATTTGCCATCATTTTAAAAATCAAGAGACTTCAGAAGAAAACAAAAGCAGCAACAACAAAATTGTCCCCAAATCCATAAAATAAGATGAGGATAAATGAACAGGTAGATTTCACATCCCTTTTATTTTAATTTAATTTATTTAGTTGGTATTGTACTTGGAGTTGAACCCAGGGCCTTCGCACTGAGCTATAGGCCCAGACTTTAAAAAAATTTTTTCTTTAATTTTGAGACAAGATCTTACTAAATTGCTAGGTCGTCTAGGTTGGGCTCAAACCTGAAATCTTCCTTTCTTACCCTCTCAGAATGGATTTCACATCCTTAAAATGACAATTCTGCCAACAGAGATCAACTTAATTCAATTTCAAGTAGTGACTCACAGGATTTTTTTTTTTAATTGGACAAAATAATCTTCAAGGTCACAAAGAAAAGTCTGCAATAGGACACCAGTAGGAAGAATTAGGACAAAGGTGGCCTTGCAACCCCCTGGGAAAACAGAATATTTAATCCAAGATGCAAGCCCAGCACACCATTAGCAAAGAGTAAAAACAGACTCCTGTCTTTTAGCACATAGGTATCACCAGCGATCCCACACAAAGTATCTGCAATTCTGGGCTGTCCCCAAAGCCTGGCCACACTGGGCCCTCCTTTTCCGCAGGGCAGCAGGGCGTTTCTGCGGGTCTCCGGTGCCACAGTCCCCACCACCCCTACGGCCTCTGGCCTGTGAGCCCCTGCGTCTGTCTGGCCACCACTCTCTCGGGTATCTGACGCCGAAGCTCTACAAAGACTCGGGACATCAGAGGCTAAGTTTCTGCTGTCACCTTGGCAAGGACAAAAGCACCCCCTCTCTCGAATTTAAGGCTTTTAGTGCCCAGGCTTCCAAAAGGAAAGGAAAAGAAGGGAGGAAGGGAGGAGGTGTGCAGAACAGAGGCCTGGATTTCACCTTTGATCTCTCTCTGTCAAAAAGGTAGGAGAGTTAATAAACAGCGGGGCCTGCTTCGATTTCCACTGACGCTCTGATAAGACCGCTGCATCTGCCTGGCCGGCTTCCCCTCCAGGCCAGGCCCCCCTTGGCCTTTGCCACCTGGGACCCTAAGGCCTTCCTTGTGCCTCGCCACCGGTGCCCATCGCTGGCCTCCTCCTCACCTTTCCCACAGTAAGTGCCCACGGCAGGAGGAAGCTGAACACTCCACAGCTCCCTGGGTTTGGAGGTGGGAGGAGCAATTTGGAACGGGCCTCTGAGCACATTAGGAACCCAGCCGCCAGGTCCCCAAAAGAAGCCTCCAAACTGGGGACTTCCAGGAAAATGGAATCCTCTGGGCTTTGTTCAGGCAGCAGCCGGGCAGCAGGAGGGAGAAGCCCTAGGAGGAGCCGAACTATGTCCCCACCGGCAGCAGGGGCAGAGGTGGCACTGGCTCTGGCTGTGTGACTCTGGGGAGGAGACGGCCCTGTCCAGCCTTGGTTTCCTCATCTGCTCTTACACCTGCCTCACGGGGTTGTTAAGGGTTAAATGAGCTGTGCCTGATACACAGTGGGTGCTCAAGATGGACACTAGCCTTGGACAACTGGCCAGGAATGAGGGGACACCAAGGATGGCCAGGCAATGAGTGCAGAAAGGCGGGGAATGGACCCAGGTGACATCTCTCCTCGGGCCACACAGTCTACAAGGGCCTCACTGGCCACCGATCTGCTCAAGGCCAACGCAGAGAGGCCGAGAGAAGAGTCCTGGGCCAATGGTTTTCCCCCAGTTCTGTCCTTCCTGACTGTGTGAACCCTGTGTCCTGGCCTCAAGGCTGTAACAGCACTGAACACAGAGGCTTTTGGTCAGCGCTCAGTAAATGAGCAAAATTCATGAGCCACAGCTCCTTCATGACAAGGTGCAGGCTGCAGAGGCCAGTAGAGGAGAGCCAGACAGCTCCAGGACCCCTCACTTCCACGGTCTGACCCTGTCCCTTTGGAGTCAGGGGCTTGCTTTGCTTTGGGACCTCTGAGCCCCCAGGGCCAGGCCATAATGAGCACAAAAGCTCTGCAGAGTCCCTCCTCTGTGAGCAAAGGCAGAGAGAGGCCAGGAACTGGTCCAGAGCCACACAGCCTCCCTTCATCCTGTGGAAGTGTGCTGGTCCCCTCTTGATCACACCCTGCCTGTGCATCTTCCACCTGGCACAGCGGGCACAGGGTTGCCCTCCCTGTCACCCTTGCTCCGACCCTGGCAGGGTTAAGTGAGCCCTCGCCTCTCTCCCTGGTCAGTGACGAACACAGACCCACAGCCCATGGGCCTCACCTGACCTGTGTGTGTGTGTGTGTGTGTGTGTGTGTGTGGTGTATTTAAGTGCCTCTCTTAATTTTGCTTTATTTGCCACCATTTAAAAGTTGATGACATATGAAAACCAGAATGTTGGGACCCTCAGCTCTCCTGATACCTTGCTGGCCTCCTCCATCAGCCGCAGCCCGGTGCTCCCAGGAAGGCTGGAAGCTCGCTCTGCTCCTGAGATGGGGAGAATTATTACCCCCAAATGTGTCAGTGCCCTAACCTCTGGGACCTGTGGCAAAGGCACCTTCCAGATGTGACTACATGAAGGACCTTGGTACAGGAAGCTGCACCGGGTTATCTGGTGGGCCCAGTGTCTTCCAAGGAATTTATAAGACGAAGGCTGAGGGGTCAGAGCTAGAGAAGGAGCTGGGAGAACAGAGCAGGGCTCAGGAGAGGCTCCCCAGGGAGGAGCCTGGTGAAAGGGAAGGCAGAGGCTTCACCGGGGCATCCAGGGACCCTGGCGAGAGGAGACGAGTTCTTGCAGAACTGATGTGGCTCCGTGAGGCCCACACTGGGAGGAGGGGAGAGTTGGGCATCCCGGGCTCGGCCACTGGCTGCCTCTGTGACGTTGGGGGACCTACAGTTCTGATCCAGCCTCAGGGCCTCATCTGTCAGACGAAAGAAATGATAGCGCCTTCTCTGAGGGTCCCGAGGACTCAGTGTGTCAGCGCAGGTGCAGGACAGGGCTGGCCTCAGGAGGGGTGCGAGTGTGAGCTGTGTCACTGCTGCGACCGTGGGGAACCAGCCCGAAGTCCCAGGGTCCTCCCCACTCCCCTTGTGAGCAGCCATCAAGCCGGGATTGCCAGGGTCCAGGGAGGAGCCCCTACCTGCCGGGAATTCCTCTGCCACCCTCAGGCGGGAGCTCTAGTGCTGCGACCCCGCTCCCAGGCTCCCCCGGGGACCCTGCCCAGCCCTGGATCTTCCGGGCTCTCACTGTGTCCTCCCCGGCACACGTGAGCTGCTTCCTCATCCGCAATCACATTCCTGTTCCAGTCTTTCCCGAGCTGCTGAGAGGTTTGGAGCACTTGCCTGGGGACCAGAGGTTTTCATTTCATTCATCCGTTCATTCACTCAGCGTGGATCATTGAGTCCCTCTTTTGCCCCATGGCCCAGGAATCCTGCTGTAAACAATGGGCAAAGCTCTCCCTGGCGGAGCTCACATTTCGGGGGTGGGGAGGGGAGGAGCAGATAATAAATAAACCTGCGAAGTGTACAGACTGTCCCTTCCATACGTAAAGTCTCATGTACACAACCACAGCACAAAATATTTATGCCCATTTTCCAGGTGAGAAACCCAAAGCCCAGAGAGGAAAAGTGACTTTCCCAAAGTCACGCAGCTAGGAAATGTCCAAGTTGGGATTTGACTCCGCCTCGGTCGGGCTGCAGAGCCAGTGCTCTTGCCCTCCCTGGGAGACTGCTAAGACGCCGGCCCAGCTCATGGGCAGCCCTCTGCCTCACCAGCTGCTAATTCCGGAAGCTGTGTGGTGCTCACGGCTGGGGTGCTGGTACTTGAGAGCCTGGCGCGTTCCCACGAATGAACCTCAGGCAGGGTGAGCTCAGCCCTCCCCTCCAGCAGCCTCAGACAGGGAAGGCCAAGTGCACGGTCACTCTGGCCAGAGCCGACGGGAACAGGACGTCCCGGCACTCCACCCTGGCTGGCCCAGTGAACTATTTTTGGGCGCGATTATTGATGACATGGGTACCAGGCTGGGCTCCGAATTTAAGAGGAAGGCCGGAGTTGGCACAGGATGGCCCTGCTCCTGCTTCCTGAATGACCCATCTGAGTCCGGTCTACACCCAGGCCGAGGTGACAACCTGAGCTGCGCGCTCCAGGAGGGACCTGGGTCCTCGTAGAGCACGGTTACCCCAGATTCTGGAGCCGGGTTCATCTGTAGGCAGGTGAAACACAATGAGGAGTGGGTTTCAAGGCCAGGCGTGCGTTTCAACCGCAGCAGCATTCCCTCTGCCAAGCCAGGCAGCCCTTCGAGACTCAGTTTCCCTGCCTGTAAAACAGAGTTGACAACAGTCCTGGCTCGAGCCAGGCGTGAGAGTGCGCACCTGCACACCCTGATCCTCAGGAGCCTCAGGCAGGAGGGTGGACGGTTTGAGGCCAGCCCAGGCTACTTAGAAGACCCCGTCGGACTATGAAAAGGGCAGGGGATGTAGCTCGGGCTCCCTGGGTTCCATCTCCAGTACTGCAAAATAAAATAACAGTAACAGTCCTTACTCACATGGAGGGGATGAAGCCTCAGAGAACACGCGCGGCCCAAAGCTTGGCCCTCCGCAAGTGCACAGTAATTAACCTGACTTTGTGGGTGACCATAACAGCTGACATATACTGGGAGTTTGGAGGTGCCAGGCCCTGGGTGGGTTACGCTGTGCTTTTCTCTCTTCATGCCCCAGCAGTTCCAGGGGCCAGGTGAGGGGCCCTTTTAGAGGTATCATCATTGTCCTTCTGTACAGATAGGAAAACTGAGGTTCAGAGAGACAAATGGCTCACCCAAGGTCACACAGCAGGTCCGTGGCAGAAAAGCCCAAAGGGGAAGCGTAGCCACTGGTCCTGGGGCTGGACCAGAGAGTCGCACCCTGTGTCCCCTCCTGAGAGAAGTAGGTACTGGCCCAGTAAATACTCAAGCCCATGCCATTGGTGGTCACCTCAGTCGCCCTCCTATCCTACGAGTGACCTCGGGGCCAGCCCTGATGCTGGGAATCTGGAGACAAACAAAGCTTGCGGAATATTCCCTTGATCCTCTTCCCGCCTTCTGTTTTCCTGGTTCATTGGCAAAAAAGAAAAAAAAATCTCCAAGAAACTAGCTGGTTTGGCCCAGGCTGTGGGCTGGCTCAGAGGGTGCTTTGGGGTACACGAAGGGGCTTGTCCACTTGGGCAGCTGAAGACCGGAAGTCGTCGCCTTTCCTTGCCAAAGTGACCTTCGAGGCCTGTACCTGCTGACAACTCACCCGCTGCCCTGAGGGTCCCCCTTGGCCTCCTCGGGCTGGCAGAAGCAGCCTTCTGTGATCCGCCCATCCCAAGTCCGTCACCGGACCCTGCCGCGACTGTCCTGGCCGGTGCGTGGCTCAGTGGTGGGATGTGAGCTTAGCCCTCGTGAGGTCCTGGGTTCCACCCCTAGCATCGCAAAAGAAGAGGAGGAGGAGGAGGAGGCGAGGGGAGAGACAGTGCATCTTCCCACCTCCCCAGGCCTCGCCCTGCTGTCCCATCGCTGCGGTGCCTCCCCTCCCTTCTTTGCCTACGTTCACTGCGGTCAGAGGCCTCCTGAGGCACGGCCCTCGGTTGCTGTGACTGGAGTGACGTAGTTTCCACATCCACCTTGTGCCCGACTGCAGAGCCACCTGCCGAGCTGGCGCCTCCACCGCGTCCCCCGGGCCACACGCCTCAGAGCAGAGCCTGAAACCCGCAGGTCCCACCCTGACAGGAAGTGGCACGGTGCCCCCCAGTTTGCTCAGGGCACATTGTGGGTGGCTCTTTTCAGTCGCTGCACACCCCTCCCATCATGAGTCCAGTTGTCTGTACAGCCACCCGTGGGTCCCCCATCCGTGGATTCAGCCGACCTTTGGTCAGAAGTGTTTTTAAATATTTGTGTTCGCACTGAACTTGCGCCGGTTTTTCCTCTGGTGGCCATTCTCTCTCTGAGTGACCGTGACAGCTATTCACTCAGTCACTGTGCATGCTGGGGTAGGTGTTAGGTGCAACCTGGAGTCCAGTGCAGTGTGCGGAGGGTGTGGGTGGCTTCTTTGCAAAGATAACATCACTTTACCTGAGGGACTCCACACCTTTGGATGTTGGTATCCAAGGGAGACCTGAGCCAACCCACCTCGGATACCAAGGAGCCACTGTTCATCCCAAGTCCGTGCCGTGGCTGCCACTTCCATGGCATTATCCTCACCTGCCCAGACTGGGACAGTCAGCTCTTCCTCCCTGGAGCTCAGCCTTCCAGCATCGTTCCACTGTACCCACACAGCCAGAGGAAATGCTTCAAAAGACATGTGAAGTCTTCGCACCCCCTCCAAATCCCCAGGACTCCCCACTTCTCCTAGAATAAAACTCCTGACCCTTTCCTACTCCCCCAACCTCACCCCTCTTCACTGCACTGTGTTCCTGCCACACTCGCCTCCTTCCTACGCCTGAACCAATGAGCCGGTTCCTGTCTCCATGCAGAAGCGCCATGTTTCTGGCTGAACTCTCTCCTGCCAGCTATCTGTCCTGCACCTTCCCTCAAGGCTTTGTGTCTCTCTTACCTCACCTCCTCGGAGAGGCCTTCCCTGACCTGACCATCTCAGCCCTCTGCTCCTTCAGGGCCACCCCCCGTTTTCCCTCGTGGTAGCGATCACCTTCCGGCAGGTTACATGTTTGCCATCGTGTCTGTTTTCACTCCACTGCACCCCTCTGTTGGCGAGGGGGCCTGAGGACCCCAGGTGCCAGGCTCGTGGTGGAGAACGCTCCTGCCTCAGCAGCTCCCCTGAACATCCGGCCGGGGCCAAATGCGCCATTTCCGCCAAGCAAGGCACAGGCTGCGACAAGACACAGCAGCCGTGAGTCCCTGAGGGCACAGCCAGTAGTAAATCACAGTGATGAGTTTGGAGTAGTGTCACCTTTGTTTTTATTATAATTTATTTAATTCCAAGTTCAAATAATGGAATGTTTAATGGAGGCTGCACGTAGCAATTAGCCCACAGCCTGAGTCGGGAATGCTCCAGAGGGGATACTCGGGACCCGGCCTCCGGTCCTCGCTCAGCCTCTCCCTGTGGCCCAGAGCAGCGCAGGGGTGCACAGTAGGTGTGCGGTGTGTCTGGCAACTTCTACCACGCGTGTGCCTGCAGCAAGAGCGTGGGCTGTTTGCGTTGGTGCCTTGGCTCTGCGGGCAGAGTCCGTTCCACAGGCAGCTTCCTTTGGCTCCTGGAATGTTTCTAACATTGTAAAAATTTCATTGCCTACATTTCAAAGTCAAGACTTTTTTTTTTTGCACAGAATCTCCCATAAACCTAGATGTGCAGCGTCTCTGGGCACCGGGCCGATTCCCGCACGGCCACAGACGCCACCAGGTGACAGGACTCAGCTTGCACCCCGGGCCCAGCCGTCCGAGCCTCTCCCAGGCTGCTTCCTGGCTCCCAGGCCCGGCCCCTCCATGTGTGAGCCCCAGCTGCCACCTCAGGCTTCGAGGTCAGGTGCCAGCCTCTGAGGTCAGGAGCCAGGAGGCTGCCCTGGGGCCTCTCCTACATGGGCCTGGCACACAGTCGGCCCACCGGTCCTGGAATTTGATTAAATGTTTGCTGTTCAATGAACCTCAAAGCCCCCGCTGCCCGCTCTGGGACGCACACTAAATCCAAGCCCAGCTGCAATGTGACAGAGGTTGGCCAAGGCCAGGGTTTAAAAATACCTTGGATCGCTTGGTGGTGAGGTGCTCGGAGGTGTTGGAACTGCCAGGTCAGGCTGGGGGGCCCTGCTCCTGGCTCTGTCCCAGGCTGGCCCGGGGTCCTACAGTTCCTGGGTGGGGATGGCCCCCTGCCCTGCTCAGGAAAGGTCAGCACTGTTTACAAACAGCACAACACAGCTTTGCACACAGGGTCACTGGGCAGAGGCCGGGCCGAGGCGGCGTCCCTGAAGTTTCCATGCCTGATCTCCGGGTGGCGAGGGAGCTGGGCCCTTGCACGCACTGTGGTCTTCCTGCTGCCACCTTCAGAGCCTGAGCTGAGATCTGGGCCAGGGAACCACAGTTAAAAATAAGGCTGTGACATGGTGCCCCGGGGGGCAGCCAGCCCAGGGCCAGATGGGGCTGAGCCAGCTCTGACCGGGTGCCCACTGGACGCCAGGCGCCTCAGTGGCATGAGCTCACCAGGCCCCAGAGGTGCTGTCAGGCCACAGGGGAAAACTGAGGCCTGGGGAGTGATGCGCTGCTCAGAGTTCCCAGTGGCAGCACTGGGGACAGGAAAGTGGGGTCGCTCTGGGGTGCTATCCCGCAGAGGAGGCAGCGCTGTGTGCTGTGTGCACTGAGCTGCCCTCGAGGGCTGCCATCCTGCAAAGCAGCCCCAGCTTTGCGGGTGCCCAGGATGGAACCAGGTCACCAGGACATCACCCCTTGCTGCCTGCTGCTCCACCCAGAAACACTGTCACCCTGCTCCCTTCATGCCATCTGCTGCCCGCAGAGTCTCCTTCTCAACTCCAGCTCCCATGCTGGCCCACCAGTCTGCCACATGGACATTGGTGCCCAAGGTGACACGGGGAACTTGGACTCACCCTTGCCTGTGTATGAGCCAAACCAGCCCCTGCCCTCGTGGGGCCAAGCCCATGGCACCGAGGGAGGACAGGAGGGTTAAACAATGACAGATAAATTAAACATCCTGTTTCAGATGGCAGTAGGTGGCTCACACCTGTAATCCCTACACTCTGGGAGGCTGAGGCAGGAGGATCTCAAGTTGAAGTCCAACCTGGGCAACTTAGTGATTTACTGAGACCCTGGATCACCACAGTGCAAATGCCTGGGGTGCTGTGCACACTAGAGAGGGGAGGTGGGCAGAAGTCCATGATCACAGTTGGAACCTATCCTATGGGGCAAGTGACAGGACCAGGAGTCCAGGTGATTCCAAGCCTCTGGCCAGAGAGAGGGGCTCCTGCGTTATGGAGATGCTGGGCATTGCTCCGTGTCCCCTGCAGATTTGGGCCAGTCCTCTCTACACCCTTGTCCTGTACACTGCAGGCCACCAGATCCCTTCTCGCCCGGTTCCTGAAGAGTCCCATGGCCTCACTGAGCAACTGGTGGGACCCTGGTCCCTCACACAGGTTACCCCGAAGGGCCGTCGGGAGTCAGAGGTACGACTGTCTTCATGTCTATTCTATGGAGGGAGGAACTGAGGCCAAGGGAGGGAGAGCCTTTCCAGGGCCACACAGCTAGCAAGTGGGGACACATCATCTGCTGAGGGGCCACCCACAGCCATGAAGAGCTAAACCAGGCTGGGAGCCTCAGTGCTGAGCTGGAGCAGAATGGTTTTCTGCCCCTGCCATGGGCATCAATCGAGGGCAGGAGGTGCCAGCTGCACCCATTCTACAGATAACAAAACTGAGGGCCAGAGAGGGCAATCCCATGTCCAAGGTCACACAGCCAGGCAGGAGAACCCTGGGCTCTGGGCTCCAGAGTCTGTGGGTACCCTCTGCCATCCTACTGGGCTCGTCACCTATTTCCTGGCTTGGGGGTGGTTGCCAGGGCTCGATGGCCACACAGTATCTCCTCGGCTGGGACAGAGCAGGAAGTGGGTGAAAGACGGGGAGAGGTGATGGGTAGGACACCCTGGGTGGGCCCAGCTTTGGGGGCATGTGGGCTCTGACTGGCACAGCTGGTGCCTCTGAGCTGAGCCCCGAGCCAGGCCGGTCCTGGGGACCCCAAGGCAGAAGTGCACGGCACATGTGGAGGCCACAGTGGCTCTGACAGGCACGCGGTGGCAGGGCTGTCACAGCAGGTCAGATCCAGAGCAGGAGACCCTTGTGCCCGGCAGCACCTTGCCCTTGCCGGGCCTGTTTCCATCTTGGAAAGAGGGGCTGTGTCTGCCTCCGCAGGCCACTGTCAGCGCTGGTGTGACACGCTGTCTCCCCGGCTCCTCCAGGACAGGAAGGGCCCCGTGAGCACCCAGGCCACCTTCACTAAGGCCCAGAGAAGTTTCGAGGCTTGGCCAAGGCCACGGAACTGGGAAGAGGCGGGGAGAGGCTCTGAATCCAACCCCGGTGCCTGCTTGGCCTCAGCTCTTCCGTCGCAGGGCAGAAGGAGCAATGATTTGCACTTTGTTGAGCACCTACTACACACCAGGCCTCGTTCTAGCACTGCACACATCTTAATCAACACGGATCTCACCCAAAGGGTTGAAGTACTGCTCTCCTTCCATTTCCCATGGAGAGGAAGAGGCAAAGGACCTTGTGCAAGGTCACAGGGCTCAGGCATTCTGGCTCCAGCAGCCACCATCTTGAATCACAGTGCCCAGCTTGAGAGGGCAGCAGAGATCTCAGCACGGGAGCACAGTGCATGCTTACAACCTGTGGAACCCTTGAAAAGCACAGGGAGGTACACAGAGCCCCTCTCGTTTAAGCCCACGAAGGCCTCCCCCGAGAGCTCTCTTGTGTGCATCTGTCTCGTTGGTCCCCAGGCCCCTCGCCGTTCCCCTCACCTCCCTGGGGAAAATCTGCGCAGCCCCTGCCAGCCATGGGCTGCCGGTCAGAGGTCCGGCCCACTGGGCAGAGTTGGCCAGGTTATCGGGTTTCGTGGTCAGCCACCATTGGCCCTGACCAAGCTGTCTTTCCAAAACAGAGCATTCAATCACCGCCTGTCCCTGTGCTCAGCTGTCCCTGTGTCCCCTGACCTTGCTTTTCACCCACCTGCCAGGGTTTTTTCCTGGTACCCTTGTCTCTTACCGACCTCTTGCCGATGATGGGGGTGGGGTGG